GATAGATAGATAGATAGATAGATAGATAGATAGATAGATAGATAGATAGATATAGCAATAGTACTTAGACTTATATACTGCTTTACAGTCCTCTCTAAGTAGTTTACAGAGTCAGCATATTTTCCCCGACAATCTGGATCATTTTACTGACCTTGGAAGGATGGAAGGCTGAGTCAACCGATGGATGGAGAGAGAATGTAGATAGATAGACAGACAGACAAACAGACAGGTGATAGATAGAGAGATGGATGGTAGAGAGCTAGAGAGAATAGATGACTCCATTGGTTCTGTTGGCAGAATGCTCATTATGTTTCCAAAATGGAGTGAAAGGCTGTCACTCAGTAGAAGGATTTTTCCTCTGCAAGCAGGAGGCCTGATTTAATCCCTGCCCTCTCCCAGCGGGGGCTAAGATCCAATCTGAAGCCTAGAAGGCTGCTTCTAGCTGCTCCGCGTGGGGCAGCATTGACTTGGACGGATGAAAATCCGACTTGTTGTGAAGCAGCTTCCCTTATTTGTCTTCTAAAAACAGAGGGATCTTTTTTCCCCTTCTCCCTGCGAGGTAATCTCACAAAAGCTCCCAATTAGAGAAAGAAGAATAGAACATAGACAGATGTGCTGTTGCAATGTGTACCAGAAGTACAAATTACAATTATATCCTGCTTACTGCCCCACAGGAGGGTGGGGGGTGGGGGGAATCCAGCAGAAGCTGGCGAAAGATAATTCAAAAATTTGCCTGCCTGTTTTTCTTCATATTTACATAAGGGATTATTATAGGCTGCTCCTTGAAAGCAAACTAGAAAGTTACTGATGGCCATTCAGATTTCTATGGGGGGGACGGGACCTGTCCCCTCTTGTCTTGCTACTCCTCTTCTGTCAAACTCTTAGGTTTGATGGCCTCAAAGCCTTGATCTAGTCTTAGACCCGTGATGGCGAGGTGGTTAGGGTGCAGTACTGCAGGCCACTTCAGCTGACTGTTATCTGCAGTTCAGCGGTTCAAATCTCACCGGCTCAAGGTTGACTCAGCCTT